TCTACTCATCCTTCAAGTCTCTCAAATGCCACCTCCTGTGTGAAGAAGCCCAGCGAAGCACTGGACATATAAAGACTACTCAATAACTAGTTTTTGGTGAACTAATGAATTGGATAAATAGTTCCATGCTATCACCCAGCAGCACAAACTAACAGTTAAGTGTGGCATTTGGGAACCAAATAACTTGGGTTCAAACTCCAGCTCCATCACAAATAGCTTTGTGACCTTGGACAAGGTACCCTACCTCCCTGAGTCAGTTTCCTCCTCCATAAATGTGACCTAGAGCACTGGGCAAGTCTAAATTAGACACCCACCAAAAGCACTTCGCACAGTGCCTGGCAGTAATGGAAAGTAGCTGTTCCTATTGGTAGCTGTATTTACCTCCCGCATCACCTCCTAAAGAGAGGGGAGGAGGATCATGTTTGCATCTTTGAGCATCCAGATTTAGTAAAGAAATTGGTACATAGTAGGTGCTCAAGCATCTACTTTGTTTAATTGAATTAAACATGCCACATACCATATGGGGTGGTGGGTAACAATAGAAGGCTAGGGGAGGCCAAAGGGTAGAGAGTTAATTTCTGATTGTGCGGAAGGAAGAAAGGAAGGGAGGGAGGGAGGGAGGGAGGGAGAGAAGGGAAGGGAAGGGGGGAAAAGGGGGGGAAAGGAAGGGAAGGAAGGAAGGAAGATGTTCCGAGGTGGCGTTGGGGAAGGGTTGAAATCTGAAGTGGCCACTGAAACATGGGTATAATTTTCCAGGAAGACAAGGCAGGCAGCAGGGGTGGGGAGTGGGCGTCAGGGATGGCAGCTACCTCGGGTAAAAGGACCTACTGTGGCCAAGGCACAGGGGTGCGGAATCAAACTAATCATACTCAGACTACAAGGGCAGGCGCAGAGGGTGAAGGTAAGCTCATGTGTGGCTGCAAAGGAGGATCGCTGACCGGGAGGCTGTGGCCTTAGCCAGCACAGCCCAGATGGGCTCTACCTGGGAAACCACAGTGTGCGCATGCATGCGTGTGAGCCCCGGGGAAGGCACACAGCCACCGCCTACCCCCACAGGCTCCCTGATGTGGCAACACAGCAATGTGAGGATGCTGTCACAGTGTGACGGTCACACACAAGCGTAAGACGGAAAAGGGTCCTTGCCCCTTGGCTAAGGGCATTCATTCCTCAATCTCCTCACTCAGGTCACCGTCACTGCACCCCTGACACACGCAGGCGCTGTGCTCGGCACCAGGACAACACAAACCAGGACCCCGGCCTTATGGAGCGTGTGCTATCAGGATGGAGACGCTCAACCAGCAAAAGAAAAAAAAAAAATTAAATATAGCCAATGACAACGTTGAGTGGCACTAAAGGCTATGAAGGAAAATAAAGGTGATAACGATGGGGTGGGGCCACTGTCGTAGATAAGGCAGCGAGGGTGTCTGATGGGGGCATTGGCGCAGGGGCAGGAACAGGTAAGAGAGGGGAGCCGGGGGAGGGGCAGCTCAGGAGGAGGGGGCAGTAACGCAAACCCCCTAAAGTGGGCATGGACCTGGTATGTTCAAAGGGAAGCAAACAGGCTCGTGTGGCTAGACCAGGTGGGCCAGGGGAGCACGGCAGGAGATGGAGCCGGGAAGGGGACAGGGACAGATTCCACAGGCCACAGTAAAAGACATGGGCTGACCTTTTGTAACTGCTATGGGAGTAACTGCCTGCAGGAGGTCATGTCACCTGCTTGCAATGGCTGCCGTGTGGGGGAGGCAAAGCTGGGAGGCCACCCGCAGACAGAACCCAGGCTGAGACCACGGTGGCTTAGACCACATGACAGCCACACACGTGGGGAGAGGCGACTGAACGTGCGCTCTACTCTGAAGACAGAGGCTAGCTGGCCTCCCACGACAGGATGTGCAAGGAAGAAAAGTCTGACAGGCCTACAGTTACCGGCCTGGGCAGGTGCATTCGTTCTCAGCAAGTTCACCCATGACGCAGGTACATGTGTGACAGGTGAGGGACTGCCGCTAAGGCCTGGTCCCCTCCCCCAAGGAAATGGACAGCGTAAGCAGAGCCTCAGGCGTGGTGTGCCTGCCCACCTATGGCCCACACACTTGGAATGCAGCACAAACAGGTGCCTGGATTGTGGCAGAAACAGGTACGCCAGAGGGCAGGTGGCCGAGCCAGGGCATACACGTGTCCTGACAGGCTGCACACTTCTGATCCAGGGCAGGTGTAAGCAGCAGCGCCGGACAAAAGTCTGCTGCACTTCTACCGAAAACCAGACCCCCAGCCCGGCCCGGGACGGGCCCAGGCAAAGGAGGTCTGCCGCAGAGGTGTGCGCGCGGGCGCACGGCCCTCGCCTTGGGAGCACGGCCCTCGCCTTGGGAGTCCGGCCGCAGCCTTTGGTGCACGGCTGCTCCGCCAGCTCACGGAACCTCTCTGCACGGGGACTTTGGCTCACTCTCTTTATAAAGGAAAAAGAAAATGAAAGCAAGTCAGGCGGGGCTTCAGTTCAGATGCAGAGCCCTCGTAGGACACCAGGCACTTGATAGAGAAAACGCCCCCCCACCCCCGCCACCGGTGCTGGCTGCAGACTGGGACCAGACATGAAAGGCGCCCCCACGGCTCCCTAAAGCCATCTTGTTGTTCTGACTTGATTCTTCTTCATCAAGAGTCCCCGCTAAGAACAAGCCAGAGGCCTGGCCTCTGTCCACCACACAGCCGATGACAAGAACAAAGGTCACGGACACTCCTCACAGAGCTGCTGCAGAGGCTCTTTTGATTTGTCTTTTAAGGAGAGGGAACAAATCACAGCCGTGCAAGCAGAGCTGGTTTTGAGGTGACACAAAGCTCCCCCCTACTTTCAGTGACTTTGACTCTTAGAAAAGGTTTTCCTCTGTGTTATGCTTGTATCAGATGGGTTCTCACCCCAACAGCAATGGCCGGGAGGCGGGGAGGGAAACCTGAGCCCTGTGAACATGGGAACGGGCAAGAAAAGAGAGAAGACGTTTCAAGGGTACGTTCGGGTGTCCTGAAGAACTCGGCCAGTTTGTAAATGACTTCATTTGAAAACTTCCAGCTTGTGGTTCAGCCATTCTTTAATGAGAAATATGTGATTTGGCCAAACATGAAATGGAATCATGAAGCCCTGACAAAATCGGAGGCAAAGCAGCACTACGGCTGTGCGCACCCCGTGCTTCCTTCTCCTGCACAAATTAGGCCCCCATGTGGAAGGCATTCAAGGCGTCTGCCTGCAAGAGGGCTGCACACCGATCATCGAAATGCATGCAGCTCGGCGATTTCAGGCATTTAATTACCCACTCCCCCACCCAACGCGCACACACAGAAAAGGAATTTGCCTTCTGCTTCTGGATATCTCTTACTTAAAGCACCACTCAAACATGGGATAAGCCAGACACAGAACACAGCTATTAAAACAAAATGTGGGATGAACTTGTATAGAACACCACACATGCACAGAAGTGCCTGTAAAAAGTGGTGGAATCTGAACGAAGTCCGTGGTCGCGTTAACAGTATTAGCTCCACATTGGTTCCTCTGTTTTGGGACTGTACTCTAGTTAGGAAGATGTCACCGTGGGGGGACACTGGGGGAAAGATACACAGGACTTGCTACCATTTTTGCAACTTCCCGTGAATCTATGATTATTTCAAAATAGTTCTTTTAAATGCCAAATGTGTCGATTCTGTGGTAAGTGGCTTCTGATGGGGTATAGTCTGGAGTTGCACAGGCCTTTAAGTTTTCGTTACATGTGGGGCTGTTTTGGGGTGGCCCCAGGAAATACTGGCACTGTTTTCCCCGTATCCTTAAGTCACCTTGCCCCAAGCCAGTCCTCTCGAAGATGAGGAGGTGACAGGCTCTTCCCGTGGGAGGGTCTGCTGTCGAAAGCCCATGATGTCTTCCACCCACCAAGCCTGCCTGGTGGCCGGGCCGCAGTCGCTCTAGATCAGCGGTCCACCGGCCCTGCCCCTGGTAGAGAGGTTCTCAAGCTTTAGGGTCCATCGGTCATGGGAACGTGTGAATGCTGATTCCAGGGCCCTGGTCCCACAGATCCCGAACGGGTAGTTAACAGATGGGGCCTGAGAACTTGCATTTGCAACGCGAGTCCTGGCTGATTGTGTTGCAGCATGTCCCAGGGCCACATTTTGGGAAACGCTACCAGACCCAGGTGGTTCCTGGGCACTTGCCCAGGAGGGCTCCCCACGGCAGGGCAAGGAGAAGAGCTGGCAGGTGTTCAGCACCCACAGGGCAAGGTGCCCCTCGCACCCATGCAGAGACCTTCAGGCCCCTTCTTCTAAGCGCGAACAGCCAGAGAGCTCCAACCCCCGTGCTTCAGAAAGGCTGATGAAGGACCAGCAGCCTCCCGTATGGATCCTTCAGTGGCTGTGACCATATGGCATTTAGGATAAAATGGCAGAGTTTGGACTCAATCATCTATTATCAGGGCTACTTTTCACAGAGTGCTGATTATGGGCTAAGCAATTGCATGTCATTTAATTCTCACAACGCTGCCCTGAGGGAACCGTTGTCTACTCTTCCCATTTTACAGAGAAGAAAGCTGGGGTTCTGAGAGTTCTAAAATTACACAGGCCGAGAGAAAGCAGAAGAGCCAGGAGCTAAAGGCAGATCTGCCTGAGAAGTAATTCTGCCCTAAAACGAACATTGGAGGGGTTTTTGAGGGGAGATGGAAGATTTTCCCAATGCGTGTTTCAGTGGCATTGACGTGCCTTTCCAACTTAAAGCAGATCAGATCTCTCAAGGCAGGTCCTCCTTCCATGGCCCCTCTGTCCCTCCCTCCCTTTCACCTTCTGTCCCGTTCTCTCTGACTCTTTCTCCTCTTCTCACCTTTTTAACTTTTCCCCTCTCACCCCAAAGTCTAAAATCACAGGCTCCATTTTCCTTGTCTCCCCCACTGCGAATATAAGAATTTTCTCCTGCCCTACTCTTACAATGCACGCTATCTGAAGAAATGAGAATTAGGTTCATGACAAGGCAAATGACCTACCAGTTTCAAGAGGACACTGGGGAATCTTGTTTGCCCTAAGGTTCCAAATATAATCCATGTTCCACTCAAGGCACACTTGATGGTCTTTGAAAGGGCGTTCAAAAGGCGGGATTGTCTTCAGCAGAGTATAATTCTTTGCAACAGCGTGTAGCAGGTTTTCGTCCCATTTAACATGCATGTCTCCGCCCCTGTACGTGTGAGTAATCCAGGCGCGGAGTATCACCACCGACACGGATATGGAGTGTCTGATGAAATAGTCATCTCTGTACACCATGATGCTCGGAAATTTCACCTGGACCAGGTGTGTTCTGCTGGTGTGAAGATGTTTCTCGTTCTTCCACCTTTTCTTGTACACAGGAATGCTACTTCTGAACTCAGACGAGACGACGGCTTCCAAGTTGACAACACAAGGCTGAGAGCACAAATACTCCACCGAGACTTCAGAAATGTTGCGAACGTTTCCTTCAGTGACAGTGAAATAGATGAAGTCTTTGTAAGCCACGCTCTGTTCTGCTTTGGGTATCACCGCTGTCGTCAGAGAGGTCTGCCGGCCCCAAGATGGTACGAAGTTCTGAAAAGAAAAAACATATATAGAAAGTTTTTAAATTATCATAATGTCCTGGCCAGTGTCCAACCTCTCTGTTGGTTGGAGCCTGGGTTGCAGGTTCGGTCCCTAGTCAGGGTGTGTACAAGAGGCAACCGATAGATGTTTCTCTCTCACATCAACGTTTCCCTCTTTCTCTCCCTCCCTTCCCCTCTCTCTCAAAATCAATAAGCATGTCCTCAAGAAAGGATAAGAAAAATTATATTACCCTGGCTGGTGTGGCTCGGTGGACTGGGTGCTGACCTGCAAACCAAAAGGTAGCTGGTTCAATTCCCAGTCAGGGCACATGTCTGGGTTGCAGGTCAGGTCCCCAGTAGGGGGTGTGCAATAGGCAACCCATTGATGTGTCTCTCTCACATCAATGTTTCTCTCCCTCTCTGTCTCCCTCCCTTTCTCTCTCTAAAAATGAATAAAATCTTTTAAAAAATTATCATATTAACAGATACATGAATCATGATTTTCCTGGTATTAAAAAAAAAATCCATCTCCATAAAGCGGTGAATGCAAAAGAGGAAGGATGTCGAAACCACTACTGAACCATTGGAGAAAAACCAACACACACACACAAATGAAGATTGGGCTACATTAACTCTCTCCCCAGACTCAGTAGCATCTGCTGATCAGAACATGACGTTGAAACGACATGGCAGTAATTCCAGAGTTGGTTTCCAAATGGAAGAGCTAGTTCATAACACATCTAGTCACAATGAACCTGCCTTCGAGTGAAAGAGAGAACAATCCAGCTTCAGACATTTCCAAACTATTGTCCTGACTTCAAATGCTAGAGAGAAGCAGCCAAATCAGAGGGCGAGAGAAGAGTTCAAAGTGCACCCAAGAGGGAACATGACACGGATGCCAACAGGGCCTCATTTCCTCCAGTAAATTCTAAGCCAAAACAAGCCTGCGCGACGGATGGATCAGCAGGAGGTTTCTATTGCTCCAAATCACGCGCCGGCAGGCTGGGACCACAGACTGCGCTGTCTGATTTCTTCACCACGGATGGTACAACATGTGCCAAGAAAGATATCATTTGCCTGTTTATTTATCTAGTTCTCTAAATGACCAAGCCATCTCCATGTGGACATTGGTTCCAGAAGAAACCTGTAAAGCTTGGTCATGAAGTCAAGGCAATGTTCTGAGCGTGATGTATGAGTGCTAAGAGATCTCCTAAATCTGACGTTGTGGCTCAGGTATCCAAAGCACAGTTGCAAAAAGGTTACTTGGGACCACTGCACACCCATTAGTACGGCTATTATAACAACAGACAAACAAAATAACAAAGGACGCAGAGAAACAAACCCTGTGCCTTGCTGGTGGGAACGTAAAATGGGGCAACCGCTGTGGAAAACACTAGAGTGGTTCCTCAAAAAATTAAACAAGAATTACCATAGGATCAGCAACTCTGCTTCTGACTCTACTATGCCCAAAAGAGTTGACAGCAGGGACTTGAAGAGATATGTTCATAGACATACACCCACGTTCAGAGCAGCATCATTCATAAAAGCTAACATGCAGAAGCAACCCAAAGCCTACCTGTGGATAAATGGATAAACAAATGTGGTATATACACACATGATGGAACACTACTCAGCCTTAAAAAGGAAATTCTGACACATGCTACAACTGGATGGACTTTGAAGGCATTATGCGAAGGGTAATAAGTTAGTCACAAAATAATAAATTCTCTATGGTTCCGCTTATGGGAGGTCCCTGGAGGGGTCACATTCATAGACACAGAAACTAGAACGGTGCTTGCCAGGAGCTGGGGGAATAGGGAGAAGAGGAGTTATAGTTACCAGGCACCAAGTTTCAGTTTTGTGAGAGGAAGAGTCTGGAGATGGTGGTGATGGTTGCTCAACACTGTGAATGGATTTTAATGTCTTCGACGTTGTACACATAAAATGGTTAAATGGCGAAATTTTATGCTATGAATATTTTTACAAAAAAAAATTTCTTTAAAGGTCACTGTTGTCTTCTTCAAAGAAGGGAGAAATAAGGAACCTTATCCTCACTTCTGGTTTAGGGCTGTGGGAGAAGCCAAGGTGGCAAAGACAGAAGACAGGTATCCAGGAATCATGTTTACAGATAAGCAGAACATTAAACTATACACCAGCCCTAAAGGAGCACAGCCCCAGGCGAAGCAACTCTGACTGGGGCACCTGGGACAGGTGTTACGGAGGGCATGGTATTTCACTTGCACTTCGAGGGATGAAGAGAAGTCCTTTAAGTAGAGAAGCAAAGGAGAGCTGCTGCAAGTGGTGTGGACAGCTCACGTCAGGGCAAGAAGGCAGGGAAATGCAGTTGCACTGGGGGGGGCAAGCAAGTAGCTTGGTTTGGCCGGAGATTAGAAAGGGGGTAAAACACGTGAGAGGATGTGAGAACACAGGTCGAAAAACGGCAAGGTCCTCGTTCTCGAGGACATGGAATCCCCACCCAAACAGTGCCGACTGTTGCTCCGCTGACGGCAAAGAATCAATGAAAGCTTCTGAGGAAGGGGACAGTGTTTCTATTTCAAAGCACCGACACAGTCAGTTAGAAACAAAGCTGAGGATCAAGAGAAATGAGGAGAGGACAGAGTTCATTGATAAGTAAATTCTCACTCACAGTGAGACATGCACATGGAAACTATACTGAGATGCCATTTTGAACAGAGTGGAGTCACAGACATCAAAACGCACAATAACACATGGTTCTGGCTGGATGGAAGGAAGTGTGGCATCTTGGGTCCTGCTAGGGGAGTGATCTCTGTGGACTGAGATCAGGCAATACTAGCAAACACAGAAATGCACCTACCTTCTGGCCCAACAATTCCTCTCCTAAGACTTTATCCTACAAATATACTCCAATTTGTGCAACCTCATGTATATACAGCTTTTCACTGCAGCACTGGCTGTAACAGTAAAAGATGGAAAACTTAAATGCCTGTTGGACAGGGCTGGAGGGTAAGTTACAGTGCATTTGCTCTCGGAATCCAATACAGCTACCGACACAGGGAAGACCTGCATGCACAGGTAATGGGATGATGGTTGTTTTTTTTCCTCTCTGAACTTCAAAGTTCAGAAGTGCCATTTGGGTTTGGAAAAAAGAATATATACATATTTTCCTGAGTACACATAGCACTGGATGGCCACATAGAGGACAAAGTGACCAGGAGACACGGTATGAGAGACCTGCACTGTCTACCTCTTCCTATCCTTTGAATTTTGTACTACATGAATATTCCCCCAAAAATGGGGCGGGGAGGGAAGCATCGGTCCTAAAAAATAAAAATGGAAAATACAGCTTCTCCAAATTGCAGAGGGAGACTGGTGGTTAGTGATGGGAAGCCCATGGGAAGAAATAGGTAAAGTCCAAACTGTCCACACCCTCGGGGGGAGGCTGAATTGTTTTATGTTCTCATTTATTCTTCCAAATTACAAGGGGGGGGGGAATAAATGTAAAAATAAGCTTCTATTTAGAAGTAGAGACCGTCAGATAGGACGAGCCCTGGATGACGACCCTGCCCACCCCTCCCCCGCAATGTTTTAGACAACGAAACGGCAACCTAGAAGGTGCCTGTCTCCAACATCCCCCAGCTGGCGCGTTAGCAGAAGCAGGCTCAGAAGCAAGGCGCCTCTCCTTGACTCTCACTCCCACGTTCTCCACCCCACGGCCCACAGCAGCAGGACTGAAGACTTGCCATTTCACGGCTGCCTGAGAACTCCAGGCTGAATTCTGCATTCACATGAATAAAGCTACACCCAGCATTTGTCCACAAGCATCGGCTCATTCACTTGGCAGATGTGCCAAGGTGTGGCTCCCCTTCTCTAAATGGGAATCAAGCTGGTGACGCCCATAGCCGAGTTCAGCGGAAGCCAGAGAAGCTAGTGCTGATGGAAGCTGGACCAGAATAGTGGCTGAGGGGTGGCTGGCACGCCTCCCTCTAAATGCCCTGCGCTTCCCTTACCGTGTTTCACAGGAAGAAAATATTTGCTTAGTTAGTGAGACAATAGGGAGCAGAGTCCGGGGTGCGCTGTGGTACATTAAATATCACATTGTGTTCTTTTTTCAAAGAATGACTTAAAACCTCTTCCTCATTCTTTCCATGTACAGGATACCTTAAAAACTCACCCAGGCCCAGTTCTCTCCTTTGATTTTTTTTTAATCATGTTTTTATTGCTGATGCTAGGAACGCCAGTGAAAACCAGGATGCTGGGGGAAAGGCTATTTGATTTCACTAGATTTCATTGCAAAGTGCAGTTTATAATAATCGTGTTCAATATTTTACATCTTATTGCTAAAAACGCCAGTCCACTTTCCCGTGTTAGTAAGCGCAATGTGCTGAGCACGGTTTCCGTTCTGCTTGATGGCCCCCAACTTTCCAGACCTCAACTTATCACTGCAGAGGCTGGTGGTGACAGACGAGAATGAAGAAGGCACAGGACACCTGTCAGCGACCCCTCTCCAGGGCCTTCACTTAAATGGTATTCAAGGGGACCTCCCTATTCTTTTATGAAGATTATTTTATTTTCACCTGCTTCAACGTGCAGTAAGTCAATCCAAGGTTTATGGGTCCTAGATATATGCAATCCAGTACAGTAGCCAGGAGTCACATTAAGCACTCGGAATATGGCTGGTCCAAATTGAGGTGTGCTGCAAGTGTGAAATATACACTGGACTTCAAAAACAATATAAAAAAGGATGCAGAGTACCTCGTTAATAATTTTTATACCAGCTGCATGCTGAAATGATATCAGGATACAGTGAGTTAAGTAAAATATATTACTAACATTAATTCCACCTTTTTCAGGTTATTTTTTATGTTGCTACTGGAAAATTTGAAATTACATATGTAATTTGTATGGCTTGCGTCTGTGGCTCACATCCTACTTCTATGGGACGGCACTATTCTGGATTTGAGGTCAGCAGTTTTCCTGGAAAAAGGGACCACGTGGTAAATATTATAGGTTTGCAGGCTGCTCGGTGTC